AAATCAAAATCCAGTGTTTTTCATGGAACGATTGCTGCATGGTCTCAAGCACAGAAAACTTCCCTGACTGATGCATCTTGGTACATGAGTATTCTTAATGCCGCTTGGCAATAAGAACTGAATAGTACTGGCAGAATGCATGAACACAGGAGTTGTGTTCTAACTATTGCCTTGATGAGATGGTAGTTTCCCAAAATAAGGGGACCCCAATATAGACCCTAATATTTTATGGTCCTTATTATGGGGATCCCCAGAAGGGTACCCCTAATTTTGGGAAACCCCCAGATGATGACATGAACAAGAAGGCGGAGTCAGGACGACCATGGCGAGACACTCTCCCAATACCTGCTAAAAAGGGGTGTCGCTGTGGAAATTCCTGCTCCCCTAAAGCTAGTGTATTATAGATTAATATAATGTCACTGTAGATTTGTATAATATGTGATGATAGTATATCATAGATCTAAGTCCTGAACCCCAACCCCAAGCCCGACCCCTTTTCAACTAAGAAAGTAAACGCTTGGCCCAGCCAGCCTTGACTTGCTCCTTGAAGATACGGAAGCCTCGTACAAGCCAGGGACCCCTTAACAGAGGGTCCACTTGAATTCATGGGACATGGTTTAGGGTTTAGGGGATCCCAAGGGTTGATATGAAAACTTGAACACCTGGAATGTGGCAGTTGATGGTCATGATCCTCGGCAGCTTGAGATGGGATAGCAAACCTATGCAGGTTTCCAAGGCATTGAATAAAGGAACAACGCATTGGGATAAGCGGACCTGACGATTCAAGGCACCCCTCCCTCAACGCAAGACTGGGCTACTCTTTGCTCCTGCCTCTGATTTCATATGATTAGATAGTTTTAATTCTGATACCTGCTCAGCATCACGATTGCTAGATTTGCTCGTGATTGTCATCGCTGAGCCAGAGGCCGACAGCAGTTCTAGCTAGGAATGCAAGTTCGCTTCCCCAAACCGCATTCCGCACAGCCGCTGGCGCCCTATGCCAGTCCGGAACCTGCAGGCCTTCTGCTGCAGCGCCATCATCGTTGCTTTCGGAAGATGGACCTTGCAGCTTAGTAAAGCATCCTCCAAGAAGTACGACATGAACAACCTACATAACGCGTAATTTTTGGGATAAGATCTCTACATAGCCCATAAACCTCAAGATTGAAGGACTTCTGCGCAGGTAATCCACGTTCTAAAGGCTGGTCTCCGTCCAACTGCGCTCACAAACAGGCGGGTGGTTGGGTCCATCGGGTTCAGGGTTTAGCGTAAAGGGAGGTATCCATGATATTATCCCATGAGTATGCCAGGCATCTGCAACCAGACTGTCAATGGTACAGGGAGCGATCATAATATGAAGCTACAAGCTTTGGGTGAAGACCTTGGAACTCTGGACATATTATAAATAAAGCTATGCGGCATCCAACACCCGAACCCGCTAGCTTGTAGAACACCTAACTGCCATCCGCGCCAAAAAATGGTCCAACTGGGGCATGGACAGGATTTGAAACTGTTTGGGTCCATGTTGGGCCGTAATCCTTGTGTGCTTCTAAACATGGGGGTCTCCTTTCCATACCCCAAAATACGCTCGTGCTCATAACAGGGAACATAGAGGTCCCTATTTTTGGGAGCCCCCTGTGAACTTTCGGATAACCAAAACCAGGTGCCGAGCTCGGGTCAGCATTTCCAACCTGGCATTGGAGTTGAGGGGCTTGTGGCTTAGCAGCTAGGAGAACAAGTGAAAGGAAGCACAAAACTGCCCAAGAAAACTGCGCAGTTCCCTTTGCTACTAGATTTTTCCTAGATATCTAAGGCTCTGGCAGCGAAAAGTTTTCTAAAAATCTGAACGTGTTTCAGTCTTCATGACTGGTATCAAGTCTTGCGGGACTATCCTAACAGCCCAGACAGCTGAAGGGACAGTCCTTATTGAAGGAACACCAGGCGGATTTCCAACCCTACCCCCAACACATACTGGAGGTAGCCTTCCTCAAGCAGCACACCGCCTCAAACACCGACTGCAATGACCCTGCGCAAGCTGGTTTGGCCTGAGAAAGGCATCTGCCACACGTTTCCGCGCCTTGACGTCTGAAGAGGACAACAACCACGCGCACATTCGGTGCTATGAAGGTGAAAAAGTGCAACGTACAAAGACGCAAAACGGAAAAAGATGGTCCGCTAAAAAGATGGAAGCTCAACCGATCGTTGCCAACAAGTTCCATTTGTATTTCGACGTGGAAGTAGGGCGAATGAGGGGATGATGTTCCACCAGTGGGCACACAAACAGCAATGCAAAAATGCTGCTAGCACTCCCTCATTTCGAGACTTTGGGCCCGCACGATGGGGCTGTCTGAAACGTCTGCGCCCGACTGCCTGCAGCGAGGCAACTCTGTTCTCCCTAAACCCTAAACCCTAAACCCTGAATAGTAGTTTCCATTTTCTTTTCCATTATCCCAAAATTGCCCTATATAACCCTATATAACCCTATATAACCCTATATAACCCTATATAACCCTATAACCCTATATAACCCCATATAACCCTATATAATATTGGTAATTTTTTAGGCCCCTAGGTTTGGTTTCAGGGCCAAAGGAATTCGGAGAGGAAGAGCCGAAGACGGCCTTCAAGCCATTTGGGGTTTCCCAAAATTGGGGGTACCCTTTAAAGGGGTTTATAAGGAGTTATACAGGGTTTAGGGTTTAGGGTTTCCCAAAATTAGGGGTACCTACAATAATGGAGAATCAAATGGAAAATGAAATGGAAACTGGGATTATATCGGGTTTATTTCCCAAAAATTAGGGGTACCACTTTTAGGGGTCCCCGTAATAAGGACTATAGTATTTTGGGGTCTATATTGGGGTCCCCCTATTTTGGGAAACTACCATCTTACAAAAGTGTAAGATGCACTTGGCTAAGATTAGCATCAACTGAGCCACAGCGAAATGGCTATCATGCTTTGGAAAGAGGAGATGCAAGATCGAGAAGTCAAGTTGAGCTTACTCATGCCAGCTGCTCAAGGCCCCATCAAGCGCAGTGAAGCCCAACCTCAGCCCGGCTTGTTGTAACCCTGGAGCCCTTCATTAGGCACGCTGACTCCCTTTGATCCTCAAATTCGCTGGCTTCAGCAGCGCAAGTGCTGAAATACATTGGAGCACTAAGAGCTGCCCCTGTCTCCACTTCGGCCTTAGCCCTGCAAGCCGAGTTTCTGCACATGCCTCTCTTAAATCCCCCTAAACCCTAAACCCGACAGTAGTTTCCATTTTATTTTCCACTCTCCCAACATAACACCTATAGCACCATAGATTAGACCCCATTATGCTATAGTAGTTTCCATGTTATTTTCCATTATCCCAATATAACCCCAATATATGATGACTCAGCCCCTTGCATCCAGAGCTCTAGGCGTTGAAAATCCGAGCTCAGAACCTCAAAGCAGGCTGTGACCGCAAACAGCAACATGGGGCAGGTCTCCGAGAGCATCATGATAAGGATCTGCGTTTCTGGTATGGAATGACAAAACAAACATTGAAAGCAAGAATTGCTGGAAGGCCCTTATGAAACCCTTTCAACCGTTGGTAGCTGCTAGCGCGTACACAGCCCATGCGCCCTTCTGGTCCCCTGAAACAAAGCTTGACGCAAAGAGTAGGCTTGGGACGAGTAGTCTCTCCTGCATTCCAAGGCTGCGAAGAAGGTTGGGCTCGCGCTTGCGGGGTTGGAGAGTCTAGAAATTGGAACAATCATCCTAGGCACGCAGTGAACTTCCAACGATGTAAACTATATGAATCATAAGTGATGCCAGAACTAAAACGGAAAATCGTACTCAAATGGCACTGCACTACCTATCTACAGATCCCCTAAACATCCGCCTCATTAAACTGAGACATTGCTACAGGAGCAAAACCCCCATTATTCGCAGGTTCCAGACAGCCTGTAGAAGAAGTTCAACTGCCCACAAGGGCTAACAGCAAACATTGGGATAATGGAAAAGACAATGGACAACACTATAGTAGATTGGGTTTATATTGGGATAACGGAAAAGAAAATGAAAACTACTATGGTCAGGAGCTCACGTTGTTGCAACTGCAACAAGGTCTCTGCACAGGCCCTGGGCAATCCAGAACAAAAGCCTCAAAAAGGAGTTGTGCAGATAACGACATATGGGGGTTTCCCTAAATTAGGAGTACCTTTTTGCGGGTCCCCATGATAAGGATCATAATCTTTTCGGGTCTACATGGGGGTCCCCTTATTTGGGGAAACCCCCATATCGGCGGTCTTCAGGACATGGAGGCCGCGGAAGGCTGAGGCCGAACGAATTATTTGGATTTTTTCATCCTCAGGCGAAGATCCCCAAGATTTTTTGTGAAATTCCATATGAGCCATAATCCAAACTCCTTAAAAAGGGGTTAGAGAGGGGAACATATGGGGAAGTACTATAGGGGTTATTAAGGGGGATACTAGGAGTTTTCACTATTTGTCATATTGATCAAACCACCTTCCAAGCCCCTGATATACCCCTGCACCGTCTGGCAGAGTCATAATCCTGTAACAGCTTCACCCCTACGCCCCGTCAAACCCTAGACTCTCCAAACCCGCAGTTTCTAAGCCCTTTGAACCCTGAAAGGTAGCCTTCCTGAAGCCCAAACCTGCCCCAGCCTCCAGGGACTTTCTGGGTGGCCTCAGGGCACCCACCAATGTTCCCTGGAGAAGCGGTAGAACCTTGAGGGTGAAGTGCCGAGACATGGCTGAGGGATTGAGGCTCAGGGCAGGGTCTGGGGGTCGAGGCTTTCAGAGGACTCCGGATCTAGCTTGAAGGCTGCAGGGCTTACGGTAAGGGTTTGGGTCTACAAGCGTGTAGGTTTCAGGCTGCAGCTTGCAGACTTTCAGGGACGCAGTTCAAGCCCTAGCAAATCACTTGCAAGGGACACATGCGCACAGGGATGTTAGTGAAGAAAAAGTACCCCACGTACACAAACCCATGAAGCCAAAAACAGGAATCCAGCGCACCTGGCCATAGAAGGACTGCAGGTCTGTGTCACAGGGCATCTCACCCAAACCTATCCTGCCGTTTCTACACTCTTAGGAAGGAGGCAGGCTTATCAGTGTGTGAGGTGTAGCACAACGCTTGACAATGACAACTGCAATCACAATACCGGCGATGGTCAAACAAGAGCTGCTGAAGGAGGAGAGCAAAAAGCACAAGGTTAATAAAATCAGTGAACACGTGCAAAGAAGAAAAGATGCAGCTGCGAGTTGACAACCTTTCGCTCGGCTACCATATCTGCTGAGGCTCTTGCAACAGGCAGGACAACACGCTTCGGAAGTCTTAGGGGGGATGCGCAGGGAGAGCATGTAAAGATATCTAAGCCCTGAAAGCAATCAGGTTTCAGGGTTCCAGCCTTGGGCATGGTGCCAGGGGTTTTAACTTGGAGAAGTCTAGACATTCGTTACAGTAAACCTGGCACACAATCTGAAGAAGCCTTCTCACAGCAGATATCCCAAACATAAGAAGCAGCGATAGCAGCACAGTCGTAGCAGCAACAGTAGTCTAGTTGCGGAAGCAGCAGCAGCAGCAGCAGCAGCAGCAGCAGCAGCAGCAGCAGCACCACCACCACCACCACCACCACCACCACCAGCACGAGCACCAGCACCACATCCACCACCACCACCACCGCCGCCGCCGCCGCCGCCGCCGCCGCCACCGCCACCGCCACCGCCACCACCCGCCACCACCCGCCACCACCCGCCACCAACCGCCACCACCCGCCACAACCCGCCACCACCCGCCACCGCCACCAGCACCACCCACCAGCACCACCACCA